CTCTGAACGCTGAGTGCACACCGAAGGGCACTAAATGGCTTTATGTGGTGCATTTTCTCTACAAAGAAAACTGTGAGTTAAATAACGCTCTGACCTGAATAAATCCACACACACACACACACACACACACATACTCACCTGTTGCCTGTTGCTTTGACAAGCTGCACTCAAGTGTTTGAACCACAGCAGAGCGTTCATTCTGTTCCCTGCTTGGAACTTATATGAGTTTCCTGACAGCACACAAACAAATAATTGCAGATAATTGCATATTATCATATACAGATAAATAGTAAATCTTTTCTCAGTATCGACTGAATAGATGTTTTGCAATACACTTTATTTCTGTGATAGGTCGTCGCTCTTTGATTGAGGCTTGCGATTGTTTGCTGTCAGAGTACAAGGCTTGTGATTGGCTGTCTTACCGTGCTCAGAGTCAGTCAGCAGGAAGACGTCGGGATGCTCCGGGTCATCTGCCATCATGGCCATTAAGCCCAAAACAGAAACACTTTTGCTGGCGGTAGACTTGAACTGTGGAAAATAGTCAAAATATTAAAATGCTTCTAGAATTATTATTTTTTTTAAATTCAATATATACAAATTATATTAATGGCATTACAATTTTTACAGGAATTTATTATTTTGAAATACTGGTATTATTATTTGTATTAAAAACTGAACATTGCAGTCAAAATACTAAAATGCTTCTAATATTTTTTTTCAAATATAAACAATTTTAATTACAATTTATATTAATGGCATTGCAATTTGTATAGAAATTCAATTAACTTGAAATACTACTACTACTACTATTATTATTAAAAATGAAAATTACAGTAAAAATATAAAAAAGTGCCAATCAACTTTTTTGTACTATATAATTTATAATAAAAATATTTATATCAATGACATTAAAATTTTATTACAATACCAAATAGTTTAATTAGAATTATTAATATTATTATTAAAATGCTTCTAATCAAATCATATTTAATGGCATTACAATTCTTATAGAAATTTATTTCTATAGTCAAAAGCCAGTCAAAAGCCACCTCAAGCGAGCGTAAAAACGTTTTTGCGAATTAAGGGATTTTTATTCGAAATTTGGAAACATAGCTAGTGGAAACACATTTACCGAATAAATTCCACCAAGCGAATTGAAAAAGTCATGTGACTTTGCGCTATGAGATAGGATGACTTGACTAACCAGCAGACCGATCTCGTTCACAGCATCTATGTTGTTTTGGTCGTTCTGAAATGCCTGAGGAAAGTCTGTCATCAAAGTATTTCTGTATAATTACTGTATTACACGACTGCGTTCCCAAACAGCAGGCATCCACCTCTAAAAGCAATGACCGCATTTATTGTGTTTCGTCTGCTCTCTCTGAAGCACAAGTAATTTATTACATATACAAATTATTATATTCAGTGGCTTCTCCTAGTTTTCTTAGAGATATTTAGTGCCAGTTTATCAGGAATTGTTTATTGTTAAATTTGTTCTCTTTGACTCGTTGGATCGAAACGGTGCTTTATTCGCAAATGTTTTATGTGATATTCCAGTTTTGCGCATAAGTTAAATTCGCATCTTTGGATGGAAACATAGCTATTGGTAATGTGTGATGTCATCCATCTCATTATCCAATGACTGCGAACAGCTGCCCTCATTCAGCACTGAAGCCTGATTAATCAGTCATCTGGCATGCTGCTGTTAGCATCCTTCCTGGCTCCAACAACTCTTCCTCCCCTCTCTACACCTCCTGGACAGCATCACATCTCTACAAACGCCACCCAAGGCTTTCTGTCTGACTGAGTCCATTTAGCGTAACTGTTCTGGCTCACAGGATCCCTGTCTCTCCCAAACTCTCCTGCTGGATGGTATTAGTATAAGCATTGTCCCATCAGTGTCATACTGAAGTGATTATGTGATGAGGCATCAGGCTGCAGGACACAGTGACGCTCTCTTCCTCTCACATGATGAGTGTCATCATTTCATCAGCTTCAGATGGACCACCCATGGACTGTATAGAGCATACTGTACGCTAACCCTGGTTAAATCAGACAGTTCTAATCTCACAGACGCACCACTATGAAAATTGTGGGAACGAGGGCCCTCAGGTTTTTATTAGTCCGAAGTGGAAAAAACAAAACAAAAGCAGTGCAATAACTACTACCATGATGTACATTGCTGTTGAAAAGTTTGGAGCCAGTAAAAAAAATTTATTTAGCAAGGTCACATTAAATTGATCAAGTGTGACAATAAATGCATTTATAATTTAACAAAATATTCCAAATAAATGCTGTACATTTGAACTTTCTATTGATCAAAGAATCCTGAGAAAAAAAGTATCACACTTTCCACAAAAATATTAAGCAGCACAACTGTTTTCAACAATGATAATAATGCAAAATGTATCCTGAGCTGCAAATCAGCATATTAGACTGATTTCTGAAGGATCATGTGACACTGAAGACTGGAGTAATGCTGCTGAAAATTCAGCTTTGCATCACAGGAATCAATTACATTTTAAAATGTATTCAAATAGAAAACAGTTATTTTTAATTGTAATAATATTTCACAATACAACAGTTTTTACTGTATTTCTGATCAAATAAATGCAGCCTTGATGAGTATGAGACTTCTTTCAAAAACATTACAAATCTCGCCAAACCCAAACAATTTTGAAGGGTAGTGTATATTTATTTTAAACTGAAATGTTTTTATCAATTTTTAACGAATACTACTACAACTTATTATTAATAATACAAATCATAAGTCACATTACACTAATATTCATTTCTTTAAAATTATAAAAACAATTGCTTTGTCATTATATATATATGTGACCCTGGAGCACAAAACCAGTCTTAAGTCGCTGGGGTATATTTGTAGCAATAGCCAACAATACATTGTATGGGTCAAAATTATACATTTCTCTTTTATGCCAAAAATTATTAGGATATTAAGTAAAGATCATGTTCCATGAAGATATTTTGTACATTTCCTACCGTAAATATATCAAAACCGAATTTTTGATTAGTAATATGCATTGCTAAGAACTTAATTTGGACAACTTTAAAGGCCATTTCCTCAATATATATATATTTTTTTGCACCCTCAGATTCCAGATTTTCAAATAGTTGTATCTCGGCCAAATATTGTCCTATCCTAACAAACCATACATCAATGGAAAGCGTATTTATTCTGCTTTCAGATGATGTATAAATCTCAATTTCGAAAAATTGACCCTTATGACTGGTTTTGTGGTCCAGGGTCACATATATATACAAAATCATATACAAAATCTTCTTTAAGCTTCTTAAATGTAGCCAATTTTTTTGCCAGAATAAGCAACAATATATTTTTTGAGACTTATGTGTGCTGGTATCTGTAATAGTGTGGAAAGACTCACATGCTTCCTCTCTGTGGCCTTGAGGGACTTAGCAGGATAATAGTAAAGCTGAGTACCACAAAGAGCCACCCAATACTTAGTCCACGCTGCCACCTACAGACAATACAAGAGAAACCGAGAGAGACAAAACATTAGTCCAAACACTGAAGCTTACAGACCCACACCAGAAGAGCTTTCTCAGAGGTAGTGCAGAGAAATAAATAAACAAACTATTGACCACAGACATTTATCAACCACTTAACTTACAATAATTCAATTCAATTCAATTAAAGGTACTCTAACGTAAATGTGTAACAATCAAATTTAATTTCATAAGACTACCACATACACCACTGGCACACACATATACACAGCCTATAAGTGTGCTTTATTTTCATGGCTGAAATATAAAACTAACTTTTATAAGTACAAAATCCCTACAATGTCAGCTATGCATAATATATCAAGCTTTTGTGTGAGACACATTTCCTGAGCAAGCACAAAACAAAATAGAAGGCCAAGAAGAAATCTGAACATATCGATCAAGATTAACCGAATGATACACTTAATTATACGTTTATGCAAAACGGAGCCCAAACTGTACAAACATGTAGTTATCCAGTGTATGTACGTGCAAGCTTGAGTAAAAGGTCTAGAAATACAGAGACAAGCAGATTTAGTAGCAGATCAAATATGTGCAGGAGATGTGGGTTTTAAAAGGCCTCTCAGCTCCCATTACTGGACTTCAACGCAGTATATTTTACTGCCTTGGCTCCGTTCACACACTCCTCTCTGAGGAAACCGCTGAGTTTGATGGGGCTAATGGAGAAATGACTGACAGTTAAGAGAGACTGTAGAGCAAAAGATGAAAGAGCAGATTATGATGAGAGGGCAGAGGGGAAGAGACATAACGACAGAGATGGAGGAGTGCAGACAGAGAAACGCGCTTGAGCAAAGGATCCCAACTGATTTTGATTTTACTTTGGACATCAAGTAGTGACCCAACAGAACCAAATTCATTTAATGTAAAAAAGTAAAATGTCATCATGATCAAGCAATATTCACTACAGTTCAACATTTTGAGATGAGTATGATTTTTTTTTTTTTTAGAAATTGATACTTATATTCAGCAAAAGTGACATTAAAAACATTTATAATGTCACAAAAAATTTTGAACTTTCTATTCATCAAATAAATAAAATGCCTCACAGATTCTTCAAAGATATTAAGCAGTTTTCAACATTGATAATAATAATAAGAAATGTTTCTTGAGCAGCAAATCAGCATATTAGAATGATCATGTGACACTGAAGACTGGAGTAATGATGCTGAAAATTCAGCTTTACATCACAGGAATAAATTAGATTAATAGTATTTTACACTATTACTGTTTATAGTATTTTTTTCATCAAATAAATGCAGTGGGCATTGGAGACTTCCTTCAAAAACATTTAAAAAATCTTACAGACCTCAGACTTTAGAATGGTAGCATGTTATAATATATTATAATGAAATATGCATACATTAATGATAACTTAATAATATTACTATGAAAATACACAAACTCTCCATGCTAGCTTTTACCAAGTATCAGATGCATATGTATCAAAATAGACCTTTACTGGACTTTGACGTCAAAAACAAAATGTTTTAAATTGCAATATTATTTTCACAAAATTACTGTTTTTACATTTTTTATCAAAACGTGAGTGTAAGAGACTTCTTTCAAAAACAGTAAAATAACAATGTAATATTAATGTAATATTGTGTACTATTCCACGTGTCAGATGAATATGTATCAAAATAGTTTTATACTGCATTTGTCAACAATACATAGATATGGGAAAAATTTTTCTGTCTTTCTTTTCTTTTCTTTTTAAAGATCCTTTTTATTTTGGTTTGCTAATAATGCACCATTTTAAAAAAAGAAAGGAAAAGAGGGTGAGATCACAGGGAGATTTTCTGGGCAGGAGACAGATGAGGCGGTGGTGCTCTCACCGTGGGTTTCTTGCCCTCCTTGAGGACGGTTTTCCTGCGTAAGACCCCCTGAACTGTGACAGCTCCTGGGTACAGATGCACCGCCAGCTCCTCCGACTCTGCAGAGCTACACACACACACACACACACACACACACACAGGTTTAACTGACACATGGGACATGCAACACTTTTTAAAAAGACACACATAAACGTATAAACCAAGTGAACATATTTTAAAAGTCACACCCCAGAGTTATGATGTGAAGAAAGTGAGGGTGTTTGAGAGAGAGAAACAAAGCAAATGAGTAAACTGTTAAAAACTGAAAAGGTAATAGTGACTAATCTGTCTTAAAGGGATAGTTCACCCAAAAATAAATTCTGTCATCATTTATTCAACCTCATGTCACTCAAACATGTATATATTAAATTATATAAATTCAAGAACATTGATTTGCTCATTTAGACTGTGAACTGAAAAAATATCTGACTCAAAATAGTGGTTCATTTATGAACTCTCATGAACCTGCCAAGCAGAACTTGGACAGAAGTCAAGATTCTCACTGAATATCAACGTTAGTTTCCTTACACAAAGCTACTGTGTGACTTCAGAAGACTTGGAATACAACACACACTTTTTTTTTTCTTTTTGCATCAGTAAGGAAAGTGACTGATTTGGATTGTGGGTGAGTAAATCATGACATAATTTTCTGTTTTAGGTGAACTATTTGTTTACTTCTGTTAAATTTTTTTATTTTTTTTTATTTTTTTTATGTTTCTCTTATTTTTTCTCCGCTTCTGCATACTACCAGAAGCATTTTCTCTTTTCACAAGTACAGAAACAAAGCAACTCTACCGCCTACAAAAAACTACAAATTTTCTTTTATTATTCATTTCTAAATCTAAACATAAAAGAACAACTGCCTTACACTTAAAGATTATTTCACCGTCTGGTCCTTCAGACTCACTGAATTGGCTTTGGTTTAGTTTCACTTACAGTAGGATAAAAAAAACCCTCTAACGTATGACATTAACACTACTGTATACCAGCATGCTGCTCATAAATACACTTTTGTGGCATTTTAAAGTCCACTTAGTGAAGGTTTTCTTAGGCTGCATGTCCACCAAAGCGTTTTTTCCCTAGGCTAGCATATTTTTTCAATTGTTTTCAAAGGGAGTGCTGTGTTTTTTAAAACGCCAGGAGCATGCCGAGCGCGGAGTGTCTTTTTCACGCTGAGCGCTCGGGTGTTTTTTTCTCTGTGCCGAGAGTTGAAGAATGTTCAACTTTAAGTAAAACGCAGCGCTCTTCACTGTCATGTTTAGTCAGCCATCCAATCACAGTGGAGGAGGGGCGGGACTAATACCACACCGACCGAATGTCACACATTCTGCTTGTACTACGACTAAACAACAATGGAGGAGATGTTAATATTGCTTGTCTCAGAGTATACGTGTCTGTACAAGATGGGATTCCCGAACTATTATGAATATTAATATGAAAAATAATGCTTGCAACATTTAATTCACATTACTTTATTCTGTATCATAGTAACCAAAGTGCCTCAACTGAAAAATAAATAAATAAAAATGCTGCGCCGCAGAAGCGCTCACAGTTAGGCGTTTACAGCTGGCTAAAAAAAAACTTTAGACCACACACAGCCTTAATTCTGTTTTTATGAACATTTTCTCATATTGTAAAGACCGTTTTTTTGGCTACTGCACCTTTAAGACTTCTATAAGTAGATGGTCTCTGTTATGATTGGGTAATCTTTCCAGATGTAAACTGCCTAACAATACCGAAAAATTGTTGATATGCAAAATTGGGTGGTCATTTGTTAACCATGAGCACCATATGTGTTTCATTTATGAAGTAGCTTATCTCAGTTTATTTTTATTTTTTGATTGCTTTTTTGTAGCAGTGTTTTAAAAGGGGACGAATTTAGCCACACAGAAACGCTCTCTGCGAGGGTTTTATCATGCTGTGCTTTGACGGGCAATACTCTCAGCATGGTAAACCCCTGTCTGAGAGGTTGTCTCTCAAAATTAAATTGACCCTTTTTAAAGCACCGCTGGGGCCTTCAGAGCACTGCTTGTATAACAAATGCACCACATTCAACAATAAATTTCAAGACAATTACTGTCAGACTTCAAATCATCTGCTGTGAGCAATGTTCCCTTTATTATTTACAGAATTTGAAGGTCTTCATCTAAGCTTCTATAGCTTTTTAGTTTATTTATTTGTTGAACATCTGGCAGTTATCCTGCACTATTCGTTTTTTTAACTGTTCATGTTCACATTCTGTGCACCTTTTTAAAAACTCAGAGGCCTCTTTTCTCACACAATTACAATTTAGTTGTTTTTGAACACAGGAACACATCCAATGTGAACGGCCTCTAAGAACTGCATTTGATGGACCCATTTACTGAACTTATCATCAAAATGCCATAACTGGCTGAGGTATGCAAGGCCACGATGCAGTTTAGCCAATCGCATTCATATCTGAATCTACTGCTGTACGCAAACACCTACTTTTCACAATCCAATCAACAGCTGATGATCAAGTCCTGTCCTACATGTTATTCTTATTTGATGAGCTGCTTCACTCGGAAATAGTTACAATACAGTTGTCACAAATCAATCTCAACTTCCACTTCATATCGACATTAAAGGAATAGTTCACCAAAAACTGAAAATGTGCTAAAAATGTACTCATCCTCAGGCCATCCAAGATGAGTTTGTTTTTCCATCGGAACAGATTTGGAGAAATTTTGCATTACATCACTTGCTCACTTGCAGTGAATGGGTGCCGTCAGAATGAGAGTCCAAACAGTTGATAAAAACATCACAACAATCCACATGCAAGTAATCCACAAGCTGTGTGTTTGTAACAAACATCTATCATTAAGATATTTCTAACTTCAAACCATTGCTTTCAGCTTAAATAAGAGTCCTCTATTCATAATATCGTTTTCTCCAATGAAAAAAGTTCTTGTATGAATCAGGAGAAAAATATACACACCGGTCAAGCACCATTTACAAGCAAAAACAGTTTAAAAAAAACCTGTCTTGGCGGTGGATTTTGATGTGAGAGGACAACAGGGGATGGACATTTTCACTGGAGGAAGTGTTATTATGGATTCGTATTTTTACCATAAGCGATGGTTTAAACTTTAAAGTCACCTTAATGATGGATTTGTTTCTTACAAACATGCAGCTTTTTGCTTCACAAGTCATTAATTGATGGACTGGAGTCGTGTGGATTACTTGTGAATTATTGTGATGTTTTTAATCAGCTGTTTGAACTCTCATTCTGACGGCACCCATTCACTGCAGAGGATCCACTGGTGAGCAAGTGATGTAATGCTACATTTCTCCAAATCTGTTCAGATGAAGAAACAAACTCATTTACATCTAGGATTGGCTTAGGTTGTGTGGATTTTCAGCAAATTTTCATTTTAGGCAAACTACTCCTTGAGGATGACTAGTTTTACTATTATTTAGACAATCTAATAACTAGTGAATTATCACACATTCTGAGTTTAATGGAGTGTTGATTTTTTTATAAATTTTTAGCACAGAATTCATTCAAGTCATTCACAGTGATGGTGCTTTTGGCGCTAAAGGTCGCCATTTAGCTGTATTGTAGGGAGTAAATCAACATTAGTCGTTCAAACCCTTATTTCAAAAGAGGTGAGAGGAGCTGTGTGCGTTTGGAGAACAGAAAGCAGGAGCAATCAGAAGAGATGCTTCAGTGGCTTTTGCGGGTTTTGATTAGCAGCAACAAGCCACGACTGCAGCATAAGAGTCAACATCACACACGTGATTCAGAAAAGCCCACCACCTGATTCCACAGTAAGAAAACACACACTACACACTGTGATGGCGATAGCTCCCCAGTTGTACAGGGTAAGTCAGACAGAGAGAGACCCGGCGGGGGTCGGAGGGTTGTTGAGTTACCTGCTGGGCCTGAGTGCTCCTCTGCAGGAAATGCGACCCACTCTGCTGACGGGGCCCAGAGAGTGGTAGAATCGAGTCCTGTAGAGTGTCAGTCATAGCGGGGCAGTGGTCAGTCACAGCCCTCACACACAACACACAGTACAGGCTGTGCTAGAGCTCTGCACCTTTTTTCTTTGTCTCCTTCTATGGTCTAAAGACTCTGGCTAACATGTCTGAACAAATGGTTGGCACACAATACGTGGTCAACCGATAAAGGTTTTTCAATAACCCATGTGATATCTAGAAAGCAGGGTGGCCAATGACCAATATAGTGTCACTATATTTAAAATAACTAATAGAGAGTGTACAGTCAGCCAGCTATTAAGTGACAAAATATATGCTCCGTCCGGCAGTGTTCAGCGCACCGCTCTATGAATATGCGTTCCGCTGCTCCGAATGCTCGTGTACCGCTCATGCTCACCGGAAAAGCAAAGTCCGCTCAAATAAGTAAATTTCTATGTAGTATACTTGTTCCTGTTTGCAATAGTGCTACTGTGCAGTAACATGGTGTAGTACAGCTGTACTGGCCAACGCTGGTAAAATGACGTTACCCTCTCACGATCTGCTCCCCGCTATGCTCTGCTCACATGCTCTGATAATAATATCAGTATCATTAAATTAAAAAGTCTTACAAAATTATTTTATATTATTTAAAAAATAATAATTATTAAAAAGCATTTTCGGTTTCAGTTTTTCAGCTAAGTGCATCCAGAAATTTCGGTTTCGGACCAAAATTTTCATTTCAGTGCATCCCTAATAAAAATTAAATAAAATCCATCAAAGAATCCTAAAAAAATGTATCACAGATATATTAAAAACAATTAAATATATTAAAAAACTGTTCTTTTTTTTTTTGATGGATCATTTCACACTGAAGGCTGGAATACTGACTGCTGAAAATTCAGCTTTGTATCACAGGAATAAATAAAACCTTCAAATATTATAACACAAAACAGGTATTTTAAATAGTTAATTATTATTATTTTTTTACAGCATTTTTTATATATAAAAAAGTGAGAATAACAAATTTCATTCAAAAACATAAAAAAAACCTTTTGAACGGTATTGTAAATATTTGACTGATATTCACAGAATTGTGCCCAATCAGAATCACGTATTCCAGAGAACCAAGAACAAACTTTATTAAATAAATACATAAATATACACAAATGCTGCATTTTTACTTAAAATATTTTAAAACAGAAATAGTGCATTATCCATTAATAAAGCTATTGGCTTTTGGAACTGACACTTCTATTACCTGGCCAAACTGGCAGGGTTAACGGTTAATTTTGATAATCTCAAAATGGTAAAATGAATATAAGATTGATTAAAATATCATTATTTATAATTTATTAAATTCCTACTTATATATATAACAGACTACCTTTTTAGAACACAGAAGGAGACAAAGAAAAGGGGGCTTTGACATGCATTTAGGGTACACTGATGCGGTTGTGTACACCTGAAGCAGCATGGTTGGCAGCGGCCATCACAAATGACTCTCTTATACTCTGTTCCTGTTACAGGAAGTTTATCTCATTAGCTACAATAGAGGTAGAGCACTAAAGAGAAAGCACAGGCAGCTGAGAGTCACAGAACACACTCTTCTGTGCCAAAAAACACTTTCTAGTGCAAAGGTCCTTTTACATTCACATGCTGAAGCTCGTTTTAGCCCAGGTGTTCAGTTATGGGAAACTAAAGTCTCAAAGCAGGTTTATGGTCACACCTGATATTGTCAATGCATTATAAACAATAAATTACAGATTAAACAAATAATCAAAAGCTGTATTGGAGAAAAGTGATTGTATTAATTTGATGATGATGAAGAGAAGCATTGGAAGAGTCTCTGTTCAGGAGGGTTGGTGGGGAGTGCTGAGGGTTAGGATAGATTCCAGCATGTTCCATGATGACATGCTGTGTCCATATGTACTCACGCATGTGGTCATGTATGTGCACGTGTAACTGTCCTTGACTGTGTTTGCAAGTGTGAATGTTTTAGAAGACTCACCTCTCAAAGGCAGGCCATGACATCTCCTCACTGAGCTCCGACCCTTCACTGCTTCCTGAAATCATACGATCATGACATATAAAGAATAAAAAGACTGATCCAGTCCATGATCCAGTAGCTCTGTGCGTGTGTTTGTGTCTCATACCCAGTGAAATGCCGCTAGACAGTGTTGAGCTCTCTGCATGTCCTCGTGTGGGAGTGTGGCTTTCCAGCACGCTGTCATCCAACAGGTGTCTGGATCCGGCGTTGGGGAAAGTAGCACTTTTAAACTCCACCGTGTTCGTTTTGTGGATAAAACTGCAGCACACACAGGACAGAGATGAAGTCAAGTTAAAGATTGAAATGTTTTCTTAATCAGTAGTGACATATCTGGCAAGAAACCAGAAGAATATCTCACATAGAGCTTGTAGAAACTAAGTATAAGGCAGATCCTTCTTCAGGAAGTTACTGCTTTATGCTACAGAGAGTTTCAATGAATTGCACTAAGCTACACACAAAGGAGTGGGTGATGTAAACAAATGAACTGAGAATATGAATCAAACGCACTTGTAGCCGAGGCTGTGGCACTTCCTGTGTCCGTAGGTGATGAGGTTCCGAGGTGAGGGTGGCGTTGGCGAGACTTTAGGCAGGGCACCTTCAGCAACATTACCACGACGACCACATAACGGTGACGCAGATATATCTGGACCCGTGTCACAAAAACAACAGACATACTAATCATTAACAAGAATGTGTGACACTGAAGGTGTTCAGCTTTGGGGAGAGCAAATCGGAACCAATGAAACTTCACTGTGGTCAGAGCAAACCCAGCATGATGCAACATAAATAAAATCCAAACGTCCAACGAAATGTTGTCACATGTCAAGGCTGCATCTGCTTAGGATAACAACTCAGAAGAGAAGTATGGCATGACACCTGGTTAGCGTCAGTGTGTGTGGGCTGCATGCATTTCTCACCTGTGAGGTCTTCTCTAGAGGCAGTGGTGCGAGGTGTGCTGGTAGCTGGTGGCTCAATCTTTAGGGACAACCTGATATGCATACAAACATGAGTATCATTTACAAATTCTAACACTAACACAAAAAGTATAATATACACTACCTGTGAGAAGTTAGGAATTATTACGATTTTTAAATGTTTTTTTTTTTTGAAAGAAGTCTCTTAAACTCACCAAGGCTGCATTTATTTGATTAAAAATACAGAAAAAAAATGTAATATTGTGAAATATTATTACAATTTAAAATAGCTGTTTTCAATTCTAATATATTTTAAAATGTAATTTATTCCTGTGATGCAAAGCTGAATTTTCAGCATCATTACTCCAGTCTTCAGTGTCACATGATCCTTCAGAAACCATCCTAATGGGCTGGTTTGCTGCTCAAGAAACATTTCTTATTATCATCAACGTTGATAACAGTTGTGCTGCTTAATATTTTGGTATAAACCTTGACTATCATTCAAGTAAAAAAAAAAAAAAATCAGATTTGCATCATAGGAATAAATTACATTTTAATTTATTTCAAATAGAATTTTTTATATAATTTATAATTTAATTAATAATTAATATTGCAATAATATTTCATAATATTACTGTTTTTACTGCATTTTCCATCAAATAAATGCAGTCTTGGTAAGCATAAGGGCCTTCTTTCAAAAACTTAATTATTCCAAACTTTTGACCGGTAGTGTTTTATGTAATATAAACACTGCTCACTTATAATTGTCGTCCTCCACAAACTTCTGTAACTCCTCAATGTAGCGCACAGAGTTAAGATACTTCTGGACATGCGGCAATACTGGGATATCTGAGACAGAGGGAGAAATGAATTCCCAGTTACTTCTGTTCATTTGCCAAAGTAAACAAACTCGCAAATGTGATACGCACCATATTCAACAGATCTCTGCAGGTCTGAGATGATTCTCAGAATGTTGTTCATGAGGTTGGAACGCTGTTCGTTTTCCAGAATGCTGCCAGTGGATGGATACGCCGAATCGATGTAGGTCAGATCAGACAGATATATACCTGCAAATATACAAGAATGTTAAAAAAAAGTCCCTTTTTGGCTACAAAATCTACAGCAAAATTGTGCTACAGCTTTAAATGTGACCCGTGCTGACAAAATGAGTCGGAATGTGCACAGACTGATTCTGAAAAAGTGAAAAATGTCAACTTTGTTCAAGCTTGAGGTTTTCACAGAAATGAGTTCATTAAGCCCTCATCTACTCTGCTCGCTTCTTGACGACTGCTGCTTCCCCTCAGCACAAATATGGTATAATTGTAAAGCGCAGCATTCGAAAAAAAAAATTAAGAATTTGCTCATTGGGACTCATTTTGCCAGCACAGGTCTCAAATATTCTTCATCTCTTTATTTCTCCTTTCCTATCAGAAATTATTGTTCTGTTGTTGTCTGTCTGCAGTGAGGAGGTGGACAGACAGGCTTTCTCTGGCCCGTCTAGAGAGCGCTTATTTCATACCGAGTAAATATTTGGATTAGTGAGGACCATTATGTGCAGGAAGTATCTGCATTAAAGAAGAAAGATGTGCAGCTTCTGGAGAAACATTTGGCAGCATGTACCAGACCGTGTGTGAATATTGATGATATGTGTTTGTGACAGCATGTTCTTAGGAATATTAGCTAGGGGACTGCAAACATGCAGCGGTTCGTTACAGACATTACATTAGAGCATCACATCTGTGATGATCATCAAAACACAACATGAATGACTGCATGACAAATGAAAGATTCAGAAAATAATTATAGAGACAAATCAATCCCAGAATCCAGACTGATTTAAAACCGACAACGGAAGAGAGAGAGCGCATTGTAAGCATTGTCTGAATTACCATTACTCTGCATCTCTCAGCAAAACAGGGTTAAGATAATAATTACAGCCCTGTGCCAGACAGCCTGCAGCACACACAACTTGGCAGATACATTGCAAAGCAACACTGACATAAAAGCAGACAGAATCCCACAATAACTTACGATGACATAATGATTAGATAGGTAACAGAAAACTGTGCTGTAGTGTAGGTGGACACTGAGAGCTGGGATTGAAAGTGCAGTGGGTGGAGTCGATCAAGTGATTGACAGCCCTAGATCTCTAAATCTAAACAGAAGAATTGCACAATTGCATCAACGAAACTGCTAACCCATAGATTAAAAATATAAATATATATAAATATAAATATATATAAATCTAAATAAATATATAAATAGTAAGCATACATGTCTGGACCCACTATATATTTCTGTTCAAAAGGTTGGGGTTGGTCAGTTTTTTTTTAGTTTTTTTTTTATCTTATGCTCACCAAGGCTGCATTTATTTGATCAACAAATTCTGTAAAAGCAGTAATATTCTGAAATTGTATTACAATTCAAAATAGCTGTTTTCTATTTTAATATATTTTAAGACGTAATTTATTCCTGTGATGCAGAGCTGAATTTTCAGCATCATTACTCCATTCTTTAGTGTCACTCGATCTTTCAGAAATCATTCTAATATGCTATAATATGAAGCATAAGAAGTATTTATTATTATTATCAATGTTGTTCTGCTTATTTTATTTTTTTCTGGAAACCTGATACATTTTTTCCCCCATGATTTTTTAATGAATAGAAAGTTCAAAAGAACTTCATTTATATGAAATGTATCTCTTTTCTTTCACTTCTGAGCAACTGAATGAATCCTTGCTGAATAATAGCATTAATTTCTTTCAAAAATCTTACTGACCCCAAATGTATTTAACAGTAGCGTAAATAATTGTATCATCAATGCTATGTATGCAATACAAAGTGAAAGAGATCTTGAAGAGAGACGGCTGCTTTGTGAATGTCAGACAAAGCTCAGGCACAAGCTAAATATTATTGTGGGAAAGCAAAATGGGAGAAAATCTCTACCCGAACAGGAGACGTCTGTCCATTTCCTTAATACCTCATTTAATAGGGTGAAGTCCAGCCATTCAGGCATCGCACTTCCATTTTAAACACCTCTGCAAATCTCACACACACACAACATAAAACCTGAACGCCTAATTCGTACTCCAACTGCTACTACTGACTAGAGCTCAAACAAACAACCTGGTAGAAAACCATAAAAATAACGGAAAAACTGACACAGTTGCGGGGGAAACATTTCTTGCAGTATGAAATGGTTGACACATAAATAATCAATTCTTCCTTATGGGCAATAATTATAGAAAACACATTTGACTTCAGTTTGTAAAAACAAATAAAAATAGTGTTTAAAAAATAATGCAATTATAATGAAAGTCAAGGGGCTCTTGAGGCACTGAAAGCAGAAATGTGGAGCATATATTTAACCTGTAAACTTATAAATTGTCCTGTATGACTATTCAAGGATGAACTTCTATTTAATGTGTTACTGACATAATTCCTGCGAGTGGTTTTTATATAAACAGTCTCTTTCTGGAAAAATTGCCTGTATTATATGAAAAAGAGGGTTCGCTGCCATTACATGGTCATGACAGGAGTTAAACGCCTGTATATAATGTTACATAGACAAGGTTAGAAAGTGATTTTATCGCACTAGTCTCATGTAAACACATATAATGTGTTTACATTTTGTGGTTGTACAATCAAAACCATGTCTATTTTAACATTTATTCCAGTGCAGTGGCTCACCCCATAGACCTCTATTCCTTTAGCTGCGGAAAACAAACCCACAAGAAACCTTGCTGTCCTTAAAGGTACAGTTCACCCAAACATCAACGGAGTCCAAACACACAAACAAACACTGGACCCCACTGAGTTTCAGTGTGTGGACAAAAAAACAGAGACATTCTTCAAAATATTTTAATTTGACTTGCACAGAAGTTTGAAACGACATGAGGTCGAGTAAATGATGAATTTTCATTTTTAAGCAAACTATCCCTATAAGGATATCAAGCTTTCTGAAGATCAGATGAGAGCCAAACACACAAACATTCGTGACCGCACCCAAACAGCACTTCAGCTGTGAATTTATACAAGAAAACACGGGAAGGAGATTCTGGTGTCACGGGTCAGATTGTTCAAACACATGCTCCACACTTCATCCAATGATCCTCAGTTTCCTCCTTCTATTTTAAACAAACAACTGAGAGACATGCGTGGGAAGATCATTATCTATTCAACTTGTGGCGTCCTCTCATAACTGCTGAAAGCATGTGCGTGTAGCGAGACCGAGTGCAGACCACAGGAAGGAACGGAGTCCCGTGCTGCTGGGCTCTAAGCGAAAGCAGTCCTCTCCGTCTCCACATAGACCGCAAGCCTATTCTCCCTAAATTCAGAGAGATCCCTCTCCCCCGCTTGCTGTCCCCTCCTCCTCCTTCCCTGCAGAACGAGAGATTTGATGGGAGGTGAAATTTTAGATGGGGTCGAGTTATTCTGTCTCCATTTCAGCACCCATTACATCAGAGGAGGGGTTAGGCCCTTCCCTCCAAAAAGGAGAATGAGAAAAGGAAGAGAGAGAGAGAGAGAAATCAGGTCCCAATCCCCTCCATCCAATCCTCCCTCCCCCATCCTTCGTGAAAAACTAAAGTTGCTGTCCGAGAGTTCCTCAGTCTCCAGAAAGCAGCTGAAGGCTTCCAGAGCCATGCCACTGCCCCAGATCCTGTGAACCCTTGGACAGGAGCTCGCTACTGGGCTGAGCAGGGTCCTGGACACTGGGGGACCGAAACCACAGGAGCTTTGAGCAGGAGGTCTTGATATCCTGGGATACAAGAGATGTGTGCAGCTTTAAGGACTTTTAGAGAGCCACTGGGAGAATAAGGAATCACGGAAGACACCAAGAACCGGTGGACCACAAGGATCTCAACAGAAAACAAAGGTCAGAAGACACCTGGGTAAAAGTGGCAGGTTCTTCACTCACTTGTTGTGTTTTTTCTTCATATAATTTCACTCTTCAATCTGTCAGCAGCTGGAAGTTCTTCTTCATCTTTGTTTGGCACAAGCCTCTACCTGTACGTCCACTGCTCTGTTTTTGTTTTTCTGAACTAATTATCCAGCTGCTGCCCATGTGCTCAGCCAGAGTACGGGTGGGCCAAGCGGTCAGGTCAAGGGTCGTTCTGAGATTTGCATTGGATTACTTCAGTCTTCCTTCACAATCCAATGCAAAGCCGTATAGCACAGACATCAAAGGCAGAGAATTACCCAGAATGTCGCCTCTTGTTCTGTTTGTTTGCTTTTCAGAAAAAGAGATGGGTGTTTTCTGGTCCACTTCAAGGTCATGCAGTAGGGGGCAAAATGCATCTGGATGGGTGTGTTTGTTTGCTTGGTTACGTTCTGAGCCCGATACTCTCACAGAGATTTCCACTGTGCTATCTAAAACAGTGTCGGCCACTCTGACTGTTGTGTCTTGTGGGTTTTCTTGTACTATGAAGGCTGTATTTTGTGGATTCGGTCTTATTTTGAGGACTGTGGTTTGTAGATTCTATTGTAGCATGTTGTAGATGTTTCTTGGTAGCCTGGTGCTCCTCACGGTTCCTCTGGCTGAAGCTCTTGGGAATTTGGTCCACTGAGTGTAGGGGATAAGGGACTCTATTCATAAAAAATGGTTTTAAAGAAAACAAACCTACCAAGACAGAAGGCCGTTTTACACTAACCACTTCCTCATGTAGAAACATCTACATTCTCACGTTGTGCACACACACACACACACACTGGTTTGACAGAAGGCTAATCACAAACCTAGTGTGTGTTGTAGCACCGTTACCCATGGCGCCCTGCTGCTGTCAGACACACAAGGAACAGCACCAGTAGATGCAAGTTGAACAAACCAAATGTTGTCACAATAAATGTCCACAAGCACGTGATTAACACTATTACGTAAGGGGGCGTTCACAGAGGACATGATGTTTTTAACTTGACACACATTATGGTGTCGTAGCACAAGAAAAACATTGAGATGTGACGGACGAACGTGTCCTGTGTGAACACATTATGCAGATAACCATAATAGCGAAACCAAGCCAAATGGATGAAATGTGAAAGCTTAGAAAAACGTATGTTTCCTCAGAGT